GCTCACTCCAATCACTTCCATTGAAAATCCAAAGCTAAAGCAGAATCCTGATTGGATTGAAATCTCACTGGTAGACAACTCCAACAAGGAGAATTTTGCTCCTTCCAACTGTTATGCCACACCTATTAAGGCTCCAATCGAATCCTTTGATGCTTCGTTAGCTGAGGAGCTAAGTGCTATACGAGAAAAACTGGAGAGACTGAGGATAGATAAGGAGAAGACTGAGAAGATGCTGAAAGAAAGGGATTCGATACTGGATATGAAAATGAAGGAGCTTGTACAAAGAGGGGAAGTGCAGAAGCATCTTGAAATAGAAGTTGATAGATTGTATCGATTAAATGAGATCAAATTATCTTGCAAGGTACGATTCTTGTTTTCTGGGAACTCAAGATTTTTCCATTAATATTGAGGAGAATCAAGAATTATGTCAATTTAAAGTAGTAACTGGTTCCATGATTAACTAGTTTAAATTTTATTATTATTATTTTTTTTTGGTAATGTCTATATTACAGAGGATTTCTCCACTTCGATCATTAAGAGATAAGGAAAGAGAAAATAATACACATGAAGATCAAAACAAGGCAAGTATTCTTTACTTTTTTTTTTCTGTCAATATTGAATAATGTAATGAATAATGATAATTGTTTTGTTTATTGTAGGGAAATAAGAGGGATGAACAAAAATGCGAAAGCCCATTATTGCAGAGTCCGAAATCAGAACAAGAAGCAGGGAATCGAAGTTGATTTTACCATAGAGGAAATTGAGGGATTTAATCTCTATCACTGAATGGATTTGTAGAATATTTGGTGCAAAGGAGCTTTGCAATTGAGAAATCCTTTTTCTTTTGTGCATTTTTTTTACGTGATGATTGGACTAGAAAATGGGTAGATCGAAATTAACAGGGTGTCGTGTTAGTTTCTTCAGATATTTGAATAGACTTGAGCTGAATGAAATTGCTAGGGCTGGACATGGTCCGATTCGGTTCTCACAACCGAACTGACCCGAAATTTTCGGGTATTTAGTAAGTGGAATCGTCGGATCCAAATTTAATTATAGAACCGTTCGGGTTCTGTTCCATTCGGTTCGGTTCCGTATTATAATTAAATTTTTTGATATATACAAAGTTACGTTAATTTAATTAATGATATATTTAATATTAGCTCTTACAAAATAACATAGCTCAATCTTATGTGTTTTACGTCTCTCTTTGCTGAATTCTTCATAAATTTGATTATTAAAATTACAGAAAAAGAAATATAACGAGCTCAAAATAATTAAGAGAGATGTTGTAGAGTTTTAATTCGATTTTCTCCGGTAGAAACGACACTCAGTAGAATAACAGATTTGAATAAAATTGAAGTCGATTTTGAAGTGAATATTAGAATAGGAAAATCATATTTTGTGGTTTAAACTAAATTAACTAGTTAATAAATTTATTTAGAAAAAATAAAATAATTCTACTTATTTAAAATAAATTAATTTAAAAAATTACGGAGATTCAGTTCTTCGGGTCTTGGCCTAGAACCGAGAACCGAACCATACCCGTCGGTTCTTGATTCAAATACCCGTTCGAGTATTTAACTTGAGAAGAACCGTCGGATTCGGTTCTGCTCGGTTCGGATTCGATTCGGTCGGTTCGGTTCGAGAATTTTGTCCAGCCTTAGAAATTGCCAAAAAAATACTCATCATACCATTCTAAATTTATTAGGAGCAAATCTTATTTCGATGCTGTTACTATATGTAGGAAAATTTTCAAATTAATTTTATAAATTGGTGGATTTAGGAATTTTGTACTTTCCAAAAGAGTTATCATGTCCTCGTCTGCCTCTACTTTTTACAAGATTAAAATCCTCATCTTTATCATTGCAAAGGGGGTGTGGGACCTAGTGTGAGAGGCAAGTCAAAAATAAATTAAAAAAAAGGCCGCTGTGGGCCCATTAGAAAGTGACAACGGTCAATAAATTGATATAATCTTGTTGAAAAACAAGAATAGACAAGCAATGAGTCTATTTGGAGTGTTTTTGAAAATTGATTTTTTGACCATTAGGAGAAAAATAGGGTCCACCTATGAGAGAAGAAATCAAATATGACGACTGGAATAGTGAAATAACGATCAAAAAATCAATTTTTTAGGTGAAAAAATTGAGTCTAAACAGGCCCTATATAAATTATAACGTGTTNTGGAGTGGCCATGAAGTGTTTTTGGAGTGGTTCTTAACTGGTTCTATACTATATGTTGTTCTTAAATACTTTGTTGTCACTATTTTTTGTAAATGGTTGTTGTGATTTGGATCTGTTTTTCGTGGACACAAGCATTGTCACCATCGCCAGTTCATTGCAGATTGATGCTTTTACCATCATCAATTTGAGGGGATGTCAATAAGATCAAAGGAGATTGTTAACAGAGATCATGAAAATTGATGAAGATTATGACTTAAACATAATTATGTATATAATTGTATTTACCATATTTAGGTTGATTACATCTACTATATTTAGATTGATGATATTCCTATGTAATGTATTTACCATATTTAGGTTGATTACGTCTACTATATTTAAATTGATAATTCCTATATAATGTAAGAAATCCTAATGGGAAAATTATTCAATCAAAATTTTGTCAAATAGGACACATATTTTTATGTAATTTTTATAGGGTGCACAAGTTCTTGAACAATACTTTATTCAATTGAGGATGCCACTAGCCGGATTGATGTTATCAAATCTCTTTTCCTGAAAGAAAAATGTATGATTAATCTCCTGATGTTAGATTATTAAAACTGTTATTTTTGCTTTACAGTGGGTTGTGTTGGTTTTGGAAGTGAGGCCTAACTTACTTTCTGGTGACTTCGAAAGGTTTCTTTTGGAGGATATTGCACAGGTAAATTTGTCTGACTAACACAAGGCTTTCCATTCTCCTACCAAACAAATATTACTTACTTCTCACATCAGCAAATCGTTCAGTTACAAGTCATGTCTATCTTTTGTGAGGCCAAGAGACAGCGTAAATAGCAATTACTTCACATAGATACTCATTAGACAAGACATCGTGATGTGTAAAATACATCCCTGTGGCCAATTATTTGTACTGCAATCTAAGCTTGAATTAGTATTGAATTAATATTTCTAGTTAGAAATTTTTTGTCTGTTCTATCTTTGGGCTTCTCGTTTCAACTTTTACTAAACTTTTTGTCTCATGGTAGTTGAATGAGTTGACTAAGAGTACCTCAATCCAAGTGTTCATAAATATGCTGTTACATTATGTATAAGTAAGAGACTGAATATTGTCTATTTCTCTCTATTATAAATAAAGATTTGATGGTGCATTCAGCATGCCAAACTAGTTTATGTAGTTTCACTATTCTTCCTGCTTTTTTTGTGTGGGAAATTTGACAGTTTTCCTTTTCATAATCCAGCGCACTATAATTGGAGTTGTAATTTGTTTATTGTGACAGGTTGGAGATGTTATACTCGTTGAAGATGAGAATGTGATAGAAAATGATTTCAGATTGGTCGGACTGGAGACGTTGGTATGTTTTATTGCTTCCAAGTATGAATGGGGTACTTGATATTTACAGAGCTTGCAGAAGATTCACCGGGCGAAGTCATATTTATTGCAACCGATGAAATCAATAATTTATTCTCTTTTGAGTTCAGAGTATTAGATATTCCCCTTTTTTTTCACCGTCAATATTTAGCTCCTATAGGATTTCAATTGGACACTGTGATTGCACTTCAATCTTGTCATCCAAGGTAATGACAGTGCATTAGTCCATCATCTTATAATTACTGACTGTGTTGTTCGGCATTACTATAGAAATGCACAACTCGTGCTGATCTTTGAATGAGTTGGTTCTACACTTATAATTGAAAAAATAAGAAGGCAAATGGCCCCAAGCATATAGTGTGGTCTTTTTTCCTTGTGGGATAAATTTAATTTCAAGCATTAAGTAGCAAAGTCTATTTTGTTTTGTGAAGTTCAATTTTTTATTGTTGGTTTGCTTTGGTAATGATTGCTCTATGCTAGGTAGGATACGCTGTTGTGACCCCAGGTCGCAGAAGCATTGGCAAGGTGAGTTCCATTATCTTTTCTGTCATCCCTTGTTCGACCTTCATTTTGTTTTTTAATATCACGCATCATTCATTTTTAGGTGCGTGGTTATACTTTTAATATCAACTCAGGCACAGTGGAATCTCTTGAGCTTGATTCATTCGGAATTTCCATCATTCCATCGGGTTTGGTAGGTGAATAGTCCTTGTACAATGTGCACATGAGAAATTTTTTTCAAAGGAATTGAAGATTTTCATCTTTTTCATATCATATAC